GAGCATAGTAAATGTGGACAACCTGGTCGAAGAGCCCATGGACAAAAAGAGTCCAATCATACGTGCGGTGACTAGTGAGATAGTCAACGTATTCAAGGACGTTGCAAACCTAAACCCCCTATTTCGCGATCAAATCTCGACCTTTTCAATGAGTCAGTCGGCTGGAAATGTGATAGAAGAGCCTGCTAAACTAGCGGACTTCGCCGCCGCCGTTTCTGCTGGTGAAATTAAAGAGTTACAGGACGTCCTAGAAACGATGAATGTCGAGGAGCGCCTGTCCAAAGCTTTGGTTGTTTTGAAAAAAGAATTGATGAACGCCCAACTTCAGTCTAAGATCTCAAAGGATGTCGAAGCCAAGATACAAAAACGCCAACGGGAATACTGGCTAATGGAGCAAATGAAAGGTATTCGGCGGGAACTTGGTATCGAGTCTGATGGGAAGGACAAGCTTGTGGAGAAGTTCAAGGAGAAAGCCGAGAAGCTCGCCATGCCTGATGTTGTGCGGAAAGTGTTTGATGAAGAGTTGAATAAACTCGCACACCTGGAACCTGCTGCGTCAGAGTTTAATGTCACCAGAAACTATCTAGACTGGATAACACAGATACCATGGGGGAAACGAAGCGAGGAGAATTTCGGTATTAAGAATGCCATGAAAGTCCTGGACGAAGACCATTATGGGCTAAAGGACGTCAAAGACCGGATTCTCGAATTCATTGCTGTCGGAAAATTGCGCGGAACAGTCGAAGGAAAAATTCTTTGTTTTGTCGGGCCCCCTGGTGTTGGAAAGACGAGTATTGGAAAGTCAATAGCTCGAGCCCTGAACCGAGAATACTATCGATTCAGTGTTGGTGGCTTGACTGATGTGGCTGAGATCAAGGGCCACCGTAGGACCTACGTTGGAGCTCTTCCCGGTCGGATTATCCAAGCTCTCAAAAAATGTCAAACAGAAAACCCCCTGATACTCATTGATGAAGTCGATAAAATCGGAAGAGGACACCAGGGAGATCCGGCATCAGCGCTGCTCGAACTGCTTGACCCGGAACAAAATTCATCTTTCCTCGATCACTATATGGATATTCCCGTGGATCTCTCTAAGGTTCTTTTCGTTTGTACTGCCAACATGACAGACACCATTCCACGTCCCTTGCTAGACCGAATGGAGCTGATTGAACTCTCCGGCTATGTTGCCGATGAGAAGATGGCCATTGCAGAGCGATACCTTGCTCCGGCAGCCAAAGAGGTCAGCGGTTTAAAGGACGTGGATGTGATCCTTGAAAAGGAAGGCATTGAGGAGCTAATAAAATCATACTGCCGTGAAAGTGGTGTGCGCAATCTCAAGAAGCAGATTGAGAAAGTATACAGGAAAGCGGCATTGAAAATTATCCAACGTCTACCAGAAGAAGAACCTTCAGAGGAAAGTAAAGTTAGAGAAGAAGTGCGGGCAGAACAAGAAAATGCTGCGAAGCGGGAAGCGGATGCTGCAACGGAGTCTACTGAGCAACCCCGGGAGGCTCCAAAGCTAGAAGCTGTTCAAGTTCCACCAGATGTCCACGTCTCCATTGGGAAGGACAACCTGAAGGATTACGTTGGACCACCTGTTTTCACTTCGGATAGACTCTATGATACCACTCCTCCAGGTGTTGCAATGGGACTGGCATGGACAAGCATGGGCGGTGCTGCATTATACGTGGAATCGATTTTACAATCTGCGCTAACATCAACATCCCGACCCGGCTTTGAACAAACTGGTAACTTGATGAGCGTCATGAAGGAATCTACGGTGATTGCATATTCTTTCGCGAAATCTCTTATGGCGAAAGAGTTCCCAGATAATAGATTTTTTGACAAGGCGAGGCTTCATTTGCATTGCCCGGAGGGCGCTGTTCAGAAAGATGGTGCGTCCCAGATCTGTTTTTCCCTATGCTGTCCGTTTCTAGCAGCTGCTGATGTCTTTTATAGGTCCTTCTGCTGGTATTACCATGGCAACTGCTCTTCTTTCGCTTGCCCTTAACAAGCCCGTTGATCCTACTATTGCCATGACCGGTGAACTTACTGTGACCGGGAAGGTCTTGCGAATAGGCGGTCTCCGTGAGAAGACCGTGGCTGCTCGTCGGGCAGGAGCTAAAACTATTATATTCCCAGCAGACAATATGTCTGATTGGCTAGAACTCCCTCAGGTATGTTCCTTTACGATGGATGATTATTTTTTGAACCTTGACTAACTTTACGCGTTGTCAATTAGAACATCAAGGAGGGAATAGAAGGTCACGCTGCCAGCTGGTACTCAGAAGTATTCGATATAGTGTTTGGCAGTGTTGACCGACACGCTATTAACCAGCTTTGGGCCAAAGAGCTTAGCGAACCGGAGAAGGCCGACAAAACGACTCGGGAAGATGAAGACTAACCCTTTTTCCCCCCATACGCATTGAATTACCTATATAGAAGCCCCTGTTTCCATTTACATACCCTGTGATATTTGTATTCATCCTCCCCTCTACCGCGATCCCCCCGTCTTGGTCCTTACGCATCGGTCGGAGTTACTCTCGTGTTGAATTTATCATTTTTTTTGTTCCTATTCGTTTTCATCAAGGCCATTCCTTTGTGGTAATAGACAGCGGACAGGTGGAATTATTCCCTTCAAGGAGAGGAAAAGGGAAAAAAAAATAGGAAAGGGCCTGCTTACCCTAGATATGCAGCTTGATCTCAGCTCATATGGGTTTGGTTACTACTGGATATTGTCCTTGTACATTAGCATTACGATAAATGACATCTATAGAATCACATCGAGAGACCTCACTGCATCCACAGTTCGGTGGAGTTTATATTGACAACAAGGTTTGAGCCGTCAATGTCTTGGCTGACTAACTTAATTAAAACTAGTTAGTTAAACCTTGATATCAAGTCAACAGGTAGAGTAAACTGCCCAGCTAACAAAAATAACTCTTGATAAAGCATGAACCACTAGCTAAAAATAGTTATTTACGAATTTATCAAAAAGAATAAGGCGTACCTCGCACCCTGATACCTTTGAATTGTTTGAAAATCTAAGCAATTGAGCCGAATTGAGCTTTTCGTAAACTGTTTCATCACGGAATCTGATACCAGGTTGATCATCATTTAGGACCATGCCTAGCGAAGGGCATCTTTAAAGATAGCCGCCGCCGCCGTTTTTTCTAGCTGAGAAAGAATGAACGAAAGGACTATTAGTAAAAACTGCGGCAAATGGTCTTCATTTTCCGCATCGAAAGGGCCAAACTCCTGGATTTGAAGAAACGGGATGTTCCCTTGGGTTGGGATAACTCTTCGGCTATTAGACGTGAAGATGTAGTCAAGATATCTACTATCGTACGTTCCAATGCTAATGTGGAAGCCAAGGTGGTCCTGAGCTACCATGAAAGTATGGTATTTCTGTACAGAGTTCTTCCACTATAAATAAGACTATTATTAGCTGTAATTTCTTATGAGGATGTAGTACAACATAAAGAATAGTTTACCGTTGTGTCCTCCTTATGACGGTTCCAAATGTAAGCGGCATGCTCCATTGACTGTTGTGCAAGAACGGGAACCTCATTTATCCCCTCGACACGGGGCGCTCGTTTGGCTTCGAAAATAATGGCTTCACGAAGGTCCTTGCCCGGAGAAACGCTGAATGGAATGCTACCATCAATACGAGCCCGAAATTTGACCTTATCCAGAGGGTTTGATACGCTGTTTAGTGGGCCAAATTCGTATGTCGTCTCGAAAGAGTTTGCCATACAAAGGGGTTTATAGCCCAGGGGCTGCACAAGACTAGCTAGCCCCCCTAGAAGGATAACCGCGAAATCCGTGACGAGGGTCTCCGTCGGTGTGCGGGGAAGAGGTTCGTCAATTGGCACGCTAACTACGGAGTGTTCGGCTAGAGACGAGGCGTCCTCAGGGAGGGAGCTGCTAAAGCTGCCGATGTCGATGCCTGTCATTTGGATATCTTCTATAGTAATATCCTCCACCGCGGCGCCATGGCGAGTTGGGCTTGTGGGTGCCTGGTGACTTTGGTGATGAAAAGCGTCAAAAAATGGTTGTCCTCTGGGAGCATTTTCTAGGTAAGAGACACTAGATGGGGTTTGAGGTCGTCTGTCCTGAAGTTGGTTATATATGGGGACAAGCAGAGAGAATGGGCCTAAGCCATCCGACAGCGTTCCAGAGAATTCAGGAGGGGTGCGCTGCAGGGATTGTTTTGGAAGACATATTATCTGATATAGGGTTGTGAGCTTATCAAGTCCTAGCTGCTGGTTATCCATCAATTTCTTAGCGTCATCAACATTATCCCAGTTAAAAAAGTGCTCTAGGTTGGCAATGTAGGCCACTGCATGCTGGTAGTCTCCTTTTTTAGGCCAAATGCAGCGAAGGGTAAGGAATGCCTCTGTTGGAACTGTGGACGCAGAGAAGTTCCCTATTTCAATACTAATTAACAGATGTTGCGGAACTTCGTTACTGAGAAGCGCAGTTTAACCGGCTAGTCAGGCAACTAAAAGACGTACCATTCTTGCACAGGTCTTCAAGGTTACGGCTCTGGAGCCCATATTTCCGTGCTGCTGCACGCCATTCACCTTCATCTGAAGGTATTCTGTCGAGATCATGAGCCGCTTTTCGACGTGTCGCTGCCATCTCCACCTAGGCGTGTAACAGAGAGGTTATCGATAATAAAGTTGCACTAATAACTAAACTCTGTCGTCGGTAAGATTCTTGAGTAAATAGCTATCGCTACTTGTCCAGCGAGCAACTGAGGGTATCTTCTCGAGGTGATATAAAGCAGGGGAAGCAGTCAACGGACAGAAGATGAGGTTGCAAGGAGGAAGCGAGAGCAGAAGGACGAGGGGGCCAGGAGGGCGGGCTTCTTAAAGGGGAAGGCCGGCGCTTAGGATGGTTGCCTGGCGGGCGAGCCGGTGAATGATTGGCTGCATAAGGCGTTGGTTCCCCACCAGTGAAGGTTATTGGTCACGTGTTCACCCACCTCTATATCTCTTCCTCTTCCTCTTCTTCCCTTCTTCTTCTTCATCCCCTTCTTCCTCCACCATCTCTTCTTCTTCCTCATCCTCTTTTGCCATTTCTTCTATCACTGAATCATTTGCAAAAGGATACCTGCCGGCCCACATGCCCCTAGCTCCAGTAGTTCCAAAGACCCCAGGGCAGCCATATGCCTTTGAGCGGCCTGAGTGCTTGGGTTGGTACCTGATACCGTTATTCAAGCTCTACATCTCATACGCGCCAGACTCCTTTCCCTGTGACTGGCTGGAGAAAACAGAGGACATCAAGGTGAAATGCATAGACAGCACAGGCAACAAAGTAGACTTTCCGACTCCTCCAGAGCTTTTAAAGGCCATCAGGAAGTGTGAGAGGGTCAACCATCCTGAAAAGGGACTCTTCTCCGGTTTACCCAGCAACTGGGGCTTTTCTGGATTTATGCAGACGGGAGCCTATCAAGTTCTTGATGAGTATCCATTCATCGAACATGGGGAGTAAGTAAGCCACTAGCTTTTGCAAGATTCCTCCTCCTTGCTGTTACTTATCCTATCATCCAATCTAACGTCGTTCCAGGTTCTGTGGCCCAATGTTTAACAAAGTACACCGCATGGTGTATCACTCATACCCTTGTATAAAGGGAGTACAGCTTTTCTATCTTGAGCAAAACCATTGGAGTTGCATAATGAGAGATCATTCAAGCGCGTACGAAGTGAGCCAGGTCGAGAATGACCCCAAGAGTTATTTTCTTCGATCCGAATTACTGGCAGCGATTTCAGTATTCTACCGTCAATTGCATGATATGATATGGAATCCTCGAGTAGAGAAATACAAACCCATCTTACGGTACAAAGAGGGATTTTTGACCGTAGGTTATCCACTTTCCCTTTTGTGTCTCGTTCAGACGCTCCCCCCCCCCCCCCCCCCCCTTTTTTTTTTTTTTTTGGGTTGGCTAACACATGAGCGAATCAAAGGCTACAGTTGTGACGTTCATCCATCGACAGGTCCGAGTAGTTCAAGCAAGCATAAAACCATCAGAAACATATCCAACGATTACTTTTACACTACGCGCCATCTACGATCTCAACGCGGAAAAATATGATCAAGAAGTCGCTTATACTGTTTTGCAGTGGATCCTGAGCCCTCCCAAGCCTGCAGAAGTGGATTAAGAACTAGGTTGGTTTCGCGGTTGGGAGTATTTGTGTTTGGTGATGCTATCTGTATCTGAATTTGCTGTCTGTCTCTTGAATATTATGACCTTGGAAGGTGTAAAAGCATGCTCTTTGTTTTGGACTAGTTGAAAAATGGAATTCTCTCCTACTACTACTACTACTACTGGGAAGGACCACATTGATGCTGTGCAAAGTCGGCACCAATAATGTTACCCCTGTACTTTTAATCATTTGTCTCTCTTGAAGACTCGACTTGGAGTTCTGCAGAGAAAGCCGTTCTTTCCTTTCCTTCCTTTCTTTTTTGCCCTTTCTCTCTTCCTAGTATGGAGTACTCCGTACACGCGAGTGAAAGGTAGAATTTATGTACTGATCGACGAGGCTCGTAAAATCCTTGCACGTACAATGAGGTCACCAATGCGGGCCGATGCAGCTCCTACCGCCAGTGGTTAAACATCTTCCAGATGGGTAAGACCGCCATATAAGGAGATTTTTCTTTTTCTCCCATTTCTCATTTTTACTTTTTCCTCCCTTTCATCTCGGCTAAGAGTTCAGAGAAAATAATGACGAGAAGAGAAGGTCGAGAGAAGACCAGGGTAGTCCAAGGTAGGGCAACCTGTCAGAGTATCGAGAGCAAAATCAACCAGTCAGAAAAGGTGAACCTTAAACAGTCACCAGGGATGGTGGCTTTAAGCTGCTACCTTCAGATGTTGCCCGGCTTGTATTGTTGCCTGTCCGCTTCTTTATTGTGCTGCTGTTGTTCCAATTTTGCTGATCAGTACCAGTCGACAGGCAGGCTTGCCTTGGAAAGAGTAATACATCTTGCGTGAGTGCCGGCGAGTTGGGTTGGTCAATTGGAGCCAGCACAAAGCAGCGCTAAAGGAGAACTGTCACTAATGCAAGGTTAACGCAGGCAGCCCTATCCACGTCGTGCCCAACGATATCCTGGCTCCAACCCGCCCCTCAGCAGTCGCATGGGGGAAGTTAAATCTAGTGGGTCGATGGGAAAAATTCCATCGACTAAGAAGAAAGTTTTTTTTTTTTTTTTTTACCCTTTTTCTTTCCTTGGTTGCGATGAAAGTTACTCCGTGGAAGGTTTTGTTTGTGCGAGGAGTCATGAGTAGAGGAGGATACGATATCCGACAGAATCTGAAGCTGCTGCCTAGCGTTACGAGGTCTTGACTGAAACACACGGGCGAAGGAGAGGCCTTTCATGATCCAGAGAGGTGGCTGGGGAGGAGAGCTCGAGACGGCAGCAAGAGGGCGAGCAAGACCAGTACGGTCGTTATCCGCCTGTTCCCACCTTGTAACTTTGCGGGAGGGAGGAACTGAACCATGGATGCGGCCGTCTGATGGGCCGCTTTATCCATAAAAAGCCGGAGGAGAGCCTTCTTGTCGCCCAGGTCGGTTGTTTAGAGTCTGATCTTCTAGAAGTACTCAGCCATCCCAGCACATGTGTGTGTGTGCGTGTGTGTGTGTCTGCATAGTTATATCTGCATCTGCGTCTGCAAACTGTAACCAACCGACTGTCAACTGCTGGACAGGCAGTCAGTGACGGTGTCCTCGAGAGCGTCACCACCCAGTATCAAGACCGACGACGGGGGCCCCTTGAAAACCAAAGCTTTCGGCCATCCTGAGTCGCCATTAGCTCGCCGTCCGTCTTCTTGCCCGCATGTTGTACGTCTCCATGCCACACAGCAGACATCGTCTCTCCTCCTCGCTCGCCCACCAGCCAGTCTCTGGCGTCCAATTCGGTATGTCATTCGTGCGAGTTGTCCTGCCTGGCTCCCCCTATCCTCCTGCCATGTCTCTCTGCGTGTCCTGGCTCTGCTCAGTGGCTGGACATTCTCCTTCTCCGTCTGCCTCTGTTGCTGCTGCTGCTGGCTGTGTCGTGGTCCTTTTTTTTGCTTGTCGTCGAAGAAGGAAGAAGCGGCGGCGGCAGAATCAAAAAGCGGTCGCCAAAACGGCCAACGCCAGCCTCATTCTGAATTTTCACCTTCGCCTTTTCGTCTCAACCACAACAACAACCACAACACCAACACCAACCACACCTCACGCAGCAGCGACAGCAGCGGCAGCGGCAGCCAGGTCTTTTCCTTTCGCTCCCCCTGCTAGATGAGAAGCCTCTGCTAACCTCTGGCCGTCTCTCCGGCAGGCTCCCTTCCAATTGACCTGGGTGTGGTCTCTGCGTGACGGGCAACAGTCCAACCAAGACCCTGCACATACCGAACTTTTCCCTCTTCCCTTATATTTTTATTTATTTTTTTTTTTCTTATTTCTATTTTTTCCCCTTCCTCGCACTGTTTTATTGATATTGCTACTACTACTATTACGATGAATCCTCCTTGCCTCCTCTAGTTACACGAAGGAAAAGCAGCGCTCCTGTCCTTTTTCGCTGCTGGGTGGCTGCATGTAAAAGGCCCGTTTCTCGTTTGCCGCTGGAGGACCAAGGAGCCAGAGCCTCCAGCCGTATCCTTCACACCTGGTCGACAGGCTCTCCAACTCCCCCTCCCGCCTCGCCGGTTATTTCTTATGGACATTTCGCGCCTGTCTAGCCAGTCATCCAGGTCAGCTGTCACGCTGTCGAGCCCAAGCTCGCCTCGCGTCGTGCTGCATGGCCATCTCAATTGCCGACGCACCAGGCCCATTCTTGTACCCATTCTTCCTCATGCCTGACCTCAAGGCCGCTCCCCCGGTCAGACACAGCTTATTCCACCGCCTTGGACTTCGTAGCTGGCTGGGGAGGGACGGCGAAGGCATCGAATCTCACTCTCAGTTCATTGCCCGAGAATTGAGCCGCCAGCGCCTAGCGGGCATTCCTTCTTCAAATGCAAAACGTGTGCACGATGATAACGAAAGCGACGTCAACTATGATGACGATATCGACGGTGTGACTTCGGTGGCAGACAGTGAGCAGTTGGCAGGCTCCCTCCCCCAGGCCAGTCCGTCTAATGTTACCGTTGGTTTGCCCAGAGCCCCAACCTTTAAACGACAGAATTCAGAGCGCCGCGACCACCTTACCCCTTCGGAGTCTGGCCTAGGACACAGACGGGCCTACTCTGCTGACCGCCAGGGAGATATAGGGCCTTGTAGAACAAGCTCTCCCCTCCCGGCTTATTCTCCCCGGAATTCCGTGCCAGATTTACCCACAAAAGACTATCATGTATCGGCCCAGGCATCTCCCACCTTGATCAACGATGAACCGTCCCCACTTCAACGTGACCCCGAACTGGGGCAAAGGCAATCGCAAACTGACCTAGCTTCGGAATACGGACCTCCCTCTGAAGGTACTATCGATAATGAACTAGAAGCCGAACTCGACAAGAAATGGATCCTTAACCTTAGCATGAGGTTCAGGGACAAGTCTGACCGTGAAAAATTCTTCATCACTTATGCTGAGGCCTCGAACAGATGGCGGAAAGTTACCGTGTCTTGCGACTACCGTAATGCCGAACCTAACTCACTTGAGTCTGACCTGAAAAAGCTACAATACCACCGTGAAAAAAATGCTCATATATATGAATCAATTCGCGAGTCTATCGATGAGATTCAATTTTATGATACTGTCACAAATCTTAAACTGGAAACTCGGGACGGCCGTCTCCACGTTCATGTTACCGAGGATGTGAACGAAGTTATCATTTTCCCTCCAATCTCCAGCGTCGAGTATCTCAACCCCTTGTTTATTCCCGAAAGCGAACTAGATTTTGATTCTCACTTATCCGGCTTTGTTTACCGAGTGAAGTACCATGGAAAGGACTACGTGAAGAAGGAAATCACTGGCCCAGATACTGTTGAGGAATTTCTCTACGAAATCAACGCTCTTCACGCTCTTCTTGATTCGACCAATGTTATCAATTTTAGAGCAATTGTTGTTGATGACTCCGGGACTTTGGTCAAAGGACTCTTGATAGACTACGCAGAACAGGGCGCCTTGGCTGATTTGTTTTACGACTTCAAGGGTGAACTTTCTTGGAAAAGGAGAGAACGCTGGGCAAAACAGATCATTAAGGGACTTGGGGATATTCATGAAGCAGGCTTTGTCCAGGGAGACTTTACCGTATCCAACGTTGTTGTGGATGAGCATGATAATGCAAAAATAATTGATATCAACCGCCGAGGCTGCCCGATTGGATGGGAACCACCAGAGTTTGCCAAAAAGTTGGAGAGTAAACAAAGAATATCCATGTACATTGGCGTGAAGTCGGATCTTTATCAACTAGGGATGACTCTTTGGGGCCTGGCCATGGAAGAGGATGAACCAGGCAGGCAGCCACGACCGCTCCTTATACCGGAAGATATGAAAATCCCAGCTTATTTCAGGAGAATAGTTGATATTTGCCTCAGCGAACGTCCACAGGGCCGTTTATCCGCTAAGGACCTCCTTGCCTTGTTTGATGATCAAAGAGATGAAGTTTTCCCCAGTCCTGGAGCGGACGTACCCCGTTATGCTCCCATGCAAGATCTCAACGGTGTATACCAAGGCTATCCCTACAGCAATTACAATTATCAACTGGCTTCAGTGTACATGGACCAACATCCCAAGGGTATGCACTATACCAATGTACCCATAGGAGATCGCCTTCGATATCAACACATGGGGGTCGAGCCGGTGATAATGCCTCCATCGAGGAATAGTCCTGATTTCCATTGTGTGAATAACAACTTACAAGCTGCTCACAACGGCGAGCATGGCCTCCCCGGTTCTCCACATGGGCTTAATCATAATGGACAGTATCTACCTCCCGGAAGTCACTGGGCGAATGGTCATAATCCGGTGCCGTACTATAACCCTGCATTTGTTAGACCCGCACTGGCTTCACATCATACTTCCATGGGTTTAGCTGAAATGGAGCTCTTGGACCGTCAGGATAGAGAGACAGAATCTGACCCTCGATTTGATGATTTTGGACCTGTAGATCTCCCAGTGCATTCTGAACGCGGATGCCCCGTTGACGAAGACCATATTCATGAAATCCAGGACCATGTTGAAACCGACCCCTCGTACCTAGTGGATGACCCTTACCCAACACCTGATCAAGCCCATCTTCCTCTTGACTCCCTCCCTTCCCCTGAATATTATGACGATTCCCGACTGGAATACAATCCCGAAGTTAAGCACACTATTCAGGTAGATCCGCCAAACGATCGGGAAGGAATTAACTACCCCAAACCAGTCCTTGGCCTTGGGGATCTCTCTAGTTCTCGTCTGCCAATCAATCCGGACTTTATGAAAACCACTGGCTGTGACTTGGCTACGCACCATTCTGATATCTCTTCATCTGGAACAACCTCCTTTGGACAGCCAATTTCCAATGATACCCTTTTCACTTCTAGTTTACCAATAAATCTCCGATATGAGGAACTTCCATCCAAGCCTGTGTCTTTGAATAAGTATGCCGATGACGATTTCTTAACCTCAAGTTTGCCGATTAATCCGGCTTATGTCGATCCTTTAGATCGTGACACTTCTCCACGCGAACGAACTAGCAAGACGTTTAGCGGCGGTATAAAGTCTACGATACCCCGGCTCCGGATTACACCCCGAGACGACCTCTTCCACTCTGCCCTCCCGATCAATCCCTGCCACAGTGAGCAGAGTCTTGACATTCACAGGAAGACGCCATCGAGTCTTAATCAATCGCGAAGCAAGCTTGCTGCTCCTAAACCAGAACTAATTCCTGAGCAAAAGTTATCTGGAAATACTGCCGTTGGCACCCTTCCGTCGTCTGACGCTTCACCCGTTACCTCTAATGATTTATTCACATCTTTGTTGCCGATTAATCCGCAATTTTGTTTTCAGGATTTCAGCGCCCGTCTGTCACACAACAACCTGTTTACATCTATTCTACCGATTAATCCCCGCCATAAAGGACAAATTATCAGGCAACCCGGGAATCTAGGTTCTCCTATACGCCCTAGCCTTTGCTCCACGCATACCCCATCTATTTCAGCCCCACCTCACCAAATAATATCTCCACAACTGTCATCAACCATCTCATCTTCGGACGACCTTTTTCTTTCAACCCTACCGATAAACCCTCAACACAAAGGCAGACAGCCCGACCGTCTTACTCTTCCATTTTTCAAAGCGGTTAGCAATGATCTCATGTCGTCAAACCTGCCAATTAATCCGGCCTTCCCTCACCCCAACGCCTTCCTGGAGAAAATTATCTGATTCCCAGAAGTTATACAAGGCGACTACGAATACCCCCTGCACTGAACTACTTACGTCAGTGCTACCTATAAACCCGGCTGTTCGCACTTGATTATTCAACAACATAGACGAGCGACTCATAGTCAATTGCCCCCGAAAGTACAAAACTCCAACTTCTCTCTACACCAAATCCATCTCAACAAAAAATGCCACACTTTCCCACTTCGACACTTGTATTTGATACTGAATGTTATCTAATTTCAGTCCATTTATTGCATCATCTAGTAGGAGGAGCGCGGTGTTTTCCCTTTGCCCTATTGTTACCCATTTCGTTTGTTTCTCCCCCCCTTTTTTTTCGTTTGTTCTTCCATATGTCATTTCGTTTTATCGTTTGCTCATTGATCCGATGTTTATGCATTTATGTCTTACATTTCTGCCCCTTGTTATAAATCAGCCATTTTTTCCATCCATTTATTTTATTTCTTCCTATATACCCTATATAATGACCTGTCTACACTTTTCATACTCGGCAACGACCAAGAAAAAAACAAAAAAAAAACAAAAAAAAAAAAAATGGAATGCAAAAGTTTTTCAGCTACCCCTCTTCAGCCCTGATATATGCAAATTTTGGCGCTCCGTTGGATTCTTGGAGTATTTTCCTTTTATATGCCCTTTCAATTTATTTTCGAGTTTGAGTACAGTACATAATCTTCTTGTCTAACGAATGATGATATGGGTATGATTTTATTGCCTTGGGAGACAGGAACCCAGCGATGGTGCTTTGTTAGCTTGTGCCCTTGTTGTACGGAGTATCTTTGCACTTTTTGGCATGCATACGGTTTGTCGTCTCAGGATGTCATTTTTTTACCTGTTTTGGATACTGAAGCTTTGTGTCTTGAAACGGCGCTGGGTTGTTTGTGCGAAATGGTATACTAGTTATGTTTCAATCCAGATCTAGCTGATCAAGTCCTTTCTTTTGATTGAACCAGCCACGTTTAAAATTTACTATATGACAGGTAAGGTATATCGAAAATCTATTATCGAGGAAATCATTACATATTTTTATTGTTCAATCAAAAGGGAAAAAAGGGCCGAGAGTCGTTAAAGTACAGGTGTAAATGAGGCAGAGAAGATATAAAGTAGAGGTCGGGAACATGAAGAAATAGCAAAGGGAAGGCTCTAGAAAAACATCATCTTAGTAGGAAAAGCCGTTCAGCATAACATGTAATAATGATAAAAGTCTCTTACCCAGTGTCAAGCCACGAAGGAAGGGGATGAAAGGGAGAATAAGGTGGTAAAATAGGGGATAGAGGAAACAAAAAAGAGAAATAATAAGCAATGAAAGATGCAATATCATATACAAGTTCGATCCGTATGATAAAAATAAATGTAAAAGGGAAAGGGGGGAAATATCGACCACGAAGGACTGAATAACTGAATACGTTATAGACATGTTCCGCAGTATTAGCAAAAAGAGGGAGTACCGTGTCCGGTTACTAAGATTGTGGTGCATTGGATTCTGGCTCTTGGGGATCTTTCTCTTCAGATTCCTCGGTTGTGTTGGCTTCCTTAGCTGGCTCTGGTTGCTCCGTACTTGGAGTATCAGAATCAATTGGCACTTCAGGCTTGGCAGAAGTGTCCTCTTCGTCTAGCTTGCTCTCGGTACCTTGTGTTATCTGGGATTCACTGGCTTCTTCTCCTTTCTCCTCTATCGGTTGAGCAGGAATTTCTGTTTGGTTCTCTTCCAGTCCATCGTCCATACTTGAAACAGTGGGTTCAGATGGTCCGGGGGATCCAGGTGTTTCCTCGGTTGGCTCCTTTTCAGAATCTGTCACTTCTTCTGCTGGAGCAGGCAAAGTTGAGGCGGATTCTTCTAATACTGCAGCAGGCTTTCCCGTGTTACTTGAGTCACTGGATTCTGTGGATTGTTCTTCGAGTGAGACATTCTGCCCTTCGTTTTGGGTCAATGATTCCGGTTCCTCGGTGATTTCCTCGGCGATGTCCTCGGCGATGCCCTCTGCAATCTTCTCGTTTCTTCCTACCTTAGGTTCTTTGAGTGGCTGGGTCCCTTCTAGGGTGTTTTTATTTAGGTCATCATCTTCTGCCGCCTCGGCAATCGTTGTAACGCCCACACCTGTTGACGGAGAATGTCGATGTCGCCTTGTAGTTGCTGCAGACAAGCCTGTACCAGGCTCTTCAAGGCTGTTGGGAGGCGTTGCTGTTACTGAATCCTCCTTGCGCAGGATAGTCAGCCTTCTGTTAACACCTTGACTCTGACTATTCGAGGGTTCGGTGTGAGAAGCATCACCCTCTGCTTCAGGTGGTATTGTGTAGTTGTCATCAGGAATGAGGCTATAGACGTCGCAAACAGTCTTAAAAAAGACATAAAGGCCATCATGTCCTTCAACCTGCCAAAAAACTCCCCGATGCTGAAACCAGGCATGGGCAAATATTCGGTACACCCGCCGGAAGACATTCGTCAGATGCCTCATACTTGCTTGAGGTCCTCCAGTCGCATCAGAACCAAGAGTGAGTCGGCTTGGGAAGAATTTGGGTGACGTGAGAACATTTGTTGCCCAGTCGAGAGTATGACAGCAATAATCAATTGCACAACATGATTTAGGCGGGTCGTGGACGGCACATAGGTACTGCCACTCAGAAGCACGCATTTCGGGACAGGTTTGCGCTGAGCATGGTGGCTCTTCTGCGAAGAACGCAACGACGAGGTTGTTTGCTTTCATGGTAAGGAATCGACATAATTCGTACAGCCAAAGTGACCTTTCTACACCTGCTGGGGGCTCTGCTAAGTCTCGTGCGATTTCTCGGGTTATTGGGGCAACGGTATCAGAACCTGCGGGTTGTGTGAAATGATGGTATGAGGCTTTGAGATGTTCTTGGAGCTGAAAGGGAGAATCGAGCTATAGCCAACATATCGTCAGTTCTTGTTAGCTAGCCTCATCTTCTGTTGCGTCTATGAACGAAACCAACGAACCTCAGAGAGCGGAACCAAGGGGGGACCAGAGGCCATATTTGCAGCCTTTGTTCCGGGGCGTATTCTCCGTGCTGATGCATCATCCTGACCATGAGGTATCCCTAAAAATTCGTCGGATCCATCACTTTTCCCGTCGTTGACAGTTGGAGATTTGGGTGCGATCTGTACTTCCGTGAAAGGAGGAGGGCTGGGTAAGCGTGGAGAGCTTGACGGCGATACGGCTGATCCGGACATTATAATAGGCTGTCTATATAGACTCTTCGATCAGCCAGCAGGGTAAAGGTAAGCCGGTTTTATAGCTTGCTCAAGCTGTTCTTTTTTTCCGTGATGTAAACATAAACCGGGCCGTACCTGAACATGGAAATTAACCGCGCGCAAAAGATGAATCGTGCTAAAGTTGTTCCGTGCCGCCCACTTTAATTGGACGTCGAATAACTATTGATTTAGGTTATATCGATTGATATGGATTGATACGGATCAATTAATGATCGGATCTATAAAGAAAGGCTGACGGGATTTTACTACCTTGTCTAATTTTCCTTGTATAATCACAATGAGCGCGATCAGCGATGACGATGATAGCCCTCCACAGCTGGTAGATGTGACCGCTCCTGAACAGCCGGAGGAACAGCCCAAGACTCCGACAGACCAAAGCCTCCCTAGAGTCCCCATAACAATAGTAACAGGTACTTTGGCAGCTATACTTGTTCAATATGACTTTAATGCTCTAACAAGGTACCTTTTTCTCCCAGGCTACCTCGGGGCAGGCAAGACTACTTTGTTAAACTACATCTTGAATGAAAGACATGGGAAGAAAATAGCAGTCATTCTTAACGGTTCGTGGGCCTTATAAATATCTTTCAGTGACTAGTATACGGCCATACTGACTGTTCAAAACCAGAGTTTGGAGATTGTAAGGCTGGAAATTGTTATGCCAGTATGTGCGTCTAGCTAAATTACTTGCCTTTAGCTGTCGATATTGAGAAGTCAATGACTGTGAACCAAGAGGGTCAGCAAGTTGAAGAATGGCTTGAACTAGCAAATGGTTGTATTTGCTGTTCGGTAAGGTATGTGCTACAGTTAAATCTATGTATAAGACACATAGTCTCTACGGCCGAGTTATATAAAGCTGTGCTCTGACCGGACGTTATGGTAGGGATGCTGGAGTTCTGGCCATTGAATCTCTAATGAACAGGAGGGGAACTTTTGATTATATCCTACTTGAGACCACCGGACTAGCTGACCCCGGGAATATTGCCCCTTTATTTTGGGTTGATGATGGGCTGGGTAGCTCCATTTATCTTGACGGGATTGTCACACTGGTCGATGCAAAGAACATTAATAGGCTATTGGATGAACCATCTTGCGAAGAAGAAAAGCAAGGTATTCACGAAGGAAGCATATTAACAACCGCCCACTTACAAATATCACACGCAGATGTGATCATTCTCAATAAGACCGATCTTGTCTCAAGCGATGAACTTGTAAAGGTGAAAGATAGGATTACCTCCATTAACGGTCTGGCTACAATCCATGTAACGGACCATAGCAAGATACCGAGTATCGAGGGCACGATTCTTGAGCTGCACTCTTATGACAAATTAACAACCGTAGATTTCTCCACCAAAGGCCAGAGTCGACTCGACGCTGTAAGTTCTTACCTATCCCTTTTCACTGAAAAGGCTTTCTTTTATCTTGAGGACAAAATTGACAATCTCATTTAGAGCATTTCTACACTTGCATTCACAATCTCGGATATAACAGAGGATAAGGTTGCGCATATCGATGAATGGCTGCAAGCCGTGCTCTGGAATCAAGAATTCCCAAAACATAAACACAGCCCTGGGGAGACTATCACAGACTTCGAAATCCATCGACTCAAGGGTATTCTTTATCTAACAAATGGAAAAACAAGGATAATTCAGGGTGTAAGGGAAGTCTTTGAAATTACAGATGCACAAGATAGCCAGCCAACATCTAAACCTGAATCTAAAATCGTTCTGATCGGACGTGGGCTTGGATTGGACAGCTCAGCATGGCAGAGGAGCCTCCTTTCATATTTAGAGAGGTGAAGGAGCTTATTGAAAGTAGCTAGGGCTACTGCCGGGCTGCTGCTATCTTCGGGAGCCTATGGTATCAGGCAAGGGGCACCGGGTAGATTCTTTCATAGTTACATAAAAACAATGCTAGACGGTACGCATCCAGACGCCATGAATGTAAATCCTTGAATTACCGCTGGTTCAGTATGTCGTTTCTGCATTATCTTCGGGTGATATCGGGTGCCGAATAGCAGTTTGGGCCCTTGGCCGGGTTTTCACTTTTCCTAAAGGGGAACTATCAAGTCCAAGTTCACTCAAGCTGCAGCCCTCCTCTTGGTTCTCTTCACCAGGTGTCTTTGATTGTGCCGACTCAAAAGGTATAGGGCTTGCAGCGACTTTCGGTCTACTTTTGAACACACTATCATAATCAATGTAGTCACTATATGGGTCTTCATCTGTTGCTTCAGCGTTAGGTTTTTCCTTATTTTCGGCTCTTTTCTCAGGTGTTTCGAATGGATCACCGGGGAGAAGTAGCTGGGACTGTCGGCAGTTTTCTGGAATTGGCTTCCATGGACGAGGAGTCGCAGCAGATACAAACAGCATAGACTGTCTAGTGCGCTCCAACAGAGTAGCAGCCCGAGAAGCAGGGTCTTCGTCGTGTTGAGGCTGTGCTCCATCGTCCTGAATACCACTTTTATCACCTATAATCGGGTGGTCATCGATTTTAGGGTTAGTCTCAGGTAATTCAGGGTTGTTATCCTTTTCCAGAGACAAGGCGCCTAATTGCATGGCGAGCAAGTCCTCTGTCGATATATTTGCAGAATTACCTGGTTTGATTAAGTTTGTTGCTTCCGAGGCCTCATGGGACACGGAAGCTTTCCTTTGGACGGGCTTTGTATCAGTCATAGTTTTTGGGTTAGGGGAGGCATCAGGGGTATTATAAGAGATCTCTTGCTCTGAAGGAACCATCGAATTTATACCAATGTTAGCAGAACGTGTGGGTGTCTTTTGCATTTCATCATGTTCGGCTAACGGATCTATGGTGCTGTCTTGCTCTCGAGGCATGACTTCGGGTTCCTTGGAGTGTTCTGATCGTTGTAACCGAGTTCGTAGACTGTCCAGTTCTAGTGAATCTTTGAATTTCCGCCACTTTTGAAGCCGGGATTTCTGTTTTGAGAGGCGGTCCTCCAAATCCGCTAACAGGTCTGGATGATTTGGCGACCCAATATCATTTTTGACCTCTACCTTTTTCATGCCGGACCACACCTGCGAAAAGTCCATCTCAAGCAATGGTTCTGAGACAGCCTGTGGATCTCCATTCAAAATTGTGTTGGCCCAATTAATATCGCCATGCCATGATCTGTTGATAGAGTCTTGAATTTGCTGTTGATATCTCAATTCTGAGGCTAACGGTTTGGGCATGCGTCTTGAATTTGCTAGCTCATTAGATTTCAAATGGAGAAATTGCTTCAGGTCTCGACATGTCGAATTCAACTCATTTTTCTGGTCTATCATGGAATGTAAGGATGCACGGTATGCAATGATCATCGGCAGTAGGTTTTGAGTATCACTCGGAGGGCCACGCTTGCTAACAGGGAGTGACAACGGAGGGGCTCCAGTGCGATATTCACGAGATGAGGCTACAACTTTTCGTAGGACGATCGTAGAGAACTCGGCTAGGATTTCATCAAACTTCTCTCCAGTGCACTCTTCGAGCATTGCTTTCCGCAAGATTCTCTCCCTTCCCAGAGTTCCATTTTTGGTCAGCTCCGAAAGTGATCGGAAGAGAGCAGCCCGAAGGTTTGACGACTGCAGAGGTTCAAGTGGCGGGAAAAAAGGTTGGAGCTTCTATGAATTTGGGTTTAATGTTAGATGATACTCTCCTACGGAGTAATCCTGACAGGCACGATAGTTCATACGTTTCTGGTGAGCTCAGGATCCCATAGCTGGAACAGATAAAACAACGTCCATTCCACCGCCTGTACTCGTCTTCGCAGATTATTCTGGTTATCAGACAGCGTCGATGGCACAATTCCGGGCCAATCCGGACGCAGATCAAGACGCAAGAGCTTCAAATTGCGGATGAAGACTGCAATTGGCGGAGCCTGAGGCCATTTTTCGGCTCCGGAGCTCGCTGTAGAAACACGCATAGGGTTCGTGTCGCAGAGGCGTTTTATGCATAGGTGGTTTCTGATGACAATCTGGCACGAGTTAGTCCACAGTTGTCATTTATCCTCTAGGCGTGGTGTTGTCTATAGCAATTAGCTATCGATGCTCTCACGCTTTATTTTGATATTCAGGGGAGATTTGGCGACTTTGCTCACCGGGCAAGGGGCGGGTCACATGACGATGGCTTAGGCACGACCCCTGAGCATAGCGGAATGAATATCCAGGGAACAGCGCTGGCTGTATCAGGGGTAAATGTATCTTCCTACTGGTACGGAGGATAATGGCAGCATTTCGCATGTTGCTGGTGCCAACCTTGTACTATGTAACGAGGAAGAGCATCTCTTCATTAAATAATGAGTTGAGCGATACACTGCTTTCATCCTATATATCAGGGAATCCCTTTGTTTGATAGTTACATAGAGCACCTAGAGCATGTAATCTTCTATTCCTATCTCAACAAAGGAGGCCTTTTACACAAATAGTGACCAGGCTGTTCCTTTCAACCAACAGGGCCAGGTTCAACAACATATTGATAAATAGAACGTTTTAATCAAATAACGTGCGATTTGATAGGGCCGAGCTTATTAGTCATCCTGATCGTTTGCATGGATCTCGAAAAGCTCCAAAAAAAGCAAAAATAATCATAATCGGCTACTGATATGAAGGTTCAGAAATAAAGATAGACGGAACCCCCCTCCAACTCGCCACGGAGCTCCTCATCCCATCGATTAATCTTGTCCCCAGCTCGGGTCATTGCCAGAATAAAGATGGGTTCAAACACGCCCTGGACCACTCAGTCCGGTAAGTATCGGTCAATTCAGCTGGCGTAAAGGAGGGCTAAGCTGACTTGTTTCTGCATAGTTATCTCAACACTATCGCATCCTCTAGCGGAAAACGGCTCCTCGCCCATCCCATTCTTTCACCTTCTAGAACGGCTAAAAACCACCAAAAGAGAAGGCTGGCGACGGTTCGATATTTCCAATGGCGAGTCTATAGCGGATCACATGTACCGCATGTCTGTCATGACAATGCTGGCCCCGCCCTCGCTTGCCTCCAAACTGAATATTCTTCATTGCACGAAGATGGCACTCGTTCATGACATGGCCGAATCGATCGTTGGAGATATAACACCCGTTGATACCGAAGTGACCAAGGCCGAAAAAGCGAGGCGAGAAGCAGAAGTGATGGAATATATATCTAAGACACTACTGGGCAGTGTCTTCGGGGGAACTCCAGGAGAAGGCCTCCAGAAGATTTTTGAAGAGTACGAAGAAGACAAAACGCTCGAAGCACGATTCGTGCACGATATCGATAAGATGGAATTGCTTCTGCAGACCGTTGAGTACGAGCGGGCCCATGGTGGGAAGCTTGATCTAACGGAGTTCTACCACGTTTTCAAGAAAATACGGCTACCAGAAATCCAGGCTTGGGGAGAGGAAGTTATTCGAGAAAGAGAGGCATTCTGGGCAGATAAACCCAACCCTCCTAAGTTACCCCAGTGAAGTCTGCGTACCGCTTCCTTTTTACCCCTCAAATACCTGGCTTTAGACTGTTTCTGTTTGGGATACAAACCTAGAGAATCTTATAAGCAGGACGGACCTTGATTCATGCGCCGTTACTGACGATTTGGTTTAGCCCGCTGCCAGCAGGCGTCTGTTTCATTCTTATATTTCATGTTCTTGGTTATGCTGCTATGTTCATGTTCCTTTCCTAATTTATTGGCACTATTGATAGATTCATTTTTTGGACTGGGTTATGTCCGAAATTGAGCAGAGCTCAACTTTTACCCTAATAGACACGCGCGTATAATAACTACATCGACTTTAATGATTACACGTTTTCGAAGTGATTCCTCCTGAGTAAAAATCTGCCATACCTTCCAGAATGTTTGCTCAGGTCTACTCTCGGGACATACTAAACTGTGACTTGCAATTTTACAACTAGACATGTTCCGACAACGGCTATATAATGCTCATTAATCGCTGGCATTTGATACCAAGCTGCCTCACTCATGTAGGCCCAGTCCCGGCGGCTAATTTAAGCCACGTGACCACGCGGCGATTTTTCGCTTTTCCGCGACTTTATCAACTTAGGTAGCTCGCCAGGGTTATCATCATCATGCATCTCCCCTTGCCGGAAACGGAGACACAGGATGACCAAAGCTTTGATCCCAAACACCAAATGCGAATTAGATTGGATAGTTGCACTAGAAGGACTCATTTCGTGAATTTTACCGCAAGTGGCCACCATTTCACCATCGATGCCACGGTCCCTGACTCCTAGGAAGACCCGACATGGACGCGATACCAATTCAAGGCTCGCTTTATTAGAGGCACTTGACACGCCTCCGGGACCTTCGGCTGATGAGATTAGAACCTCGGAGTTCTTTAATGGGGAAGACTCTTCTTCTGAGGAATCCTCCCTATCGGAACCTGAAGACAGCGAGGCAGGTCTGCACGAAAAGCCAGACGGCAGTGGTGATGATGACGATGAAGATGAAGATGAAGATGTGAACTGGGAAGATGTCACTTCTAATCCCAATTCCAACATCCAAACCCCAGCTCCAGCCCTGCGAGACTTGAGTATCGTGCTAGAAAGGAATGAAGAATCATTCGCCCCTCTCTCACTTTCTTCCAAGAAAGGGCCAAGTAAGATCGACCGTCTAATTAGGACACAAACGCATTGCATGCATGTGCAGTGTCTTCTATTTCACAACGCTGTTAGAAATGCCTGGATTAATGATCCAGAAACAAAGAAGATTCTCCTTTGCCAGTTGCCAGAAAAAATCAATAAACAGCTGGGGCAGTGGAGATCAATAGTCAAGTCATCTGCCTCGATATCAGAGGGCCAGGATGAGCCTACATACCATATCCTGACAGCGCTTGCTTCTTACTGGTCTGAATCTTTCAATATTACTGCCCCTGGATTGAGAAAAAGAGGTTACAGACCAATTCCCGTTCTTGGGAGAGAGATTTCCAAATTCAATGGTCCGGATGAAGATGGCAACGACCATGGGGAAATTATTCGTGATATCACCGAATTTCGTGAGCTTGCTCGGCGACGTCAAGGGTCCCGTGATACAGGAGCCCAGCTTTTTACTTCTCTTTTAAGAGCTGTTGGCCTGGAAGCAAGAATGGTTACCAGCCTACAGCCGATTGGCTTTGGATGGAGTAAATTTGAGGAATATAACCCCAAAGAAAAGCCAAGCCGTTCCGGAAAGAAGATAGATAAAGATCTCAAGCATCCAATATACTGGTCTGAAGTTGTATCGCCTATTACGAATGATATTATACCCGTGGAGGCTCTTGTTCTTCCATTTTACCTGGCCAGAACTCCAGAACGTTTAGCAATGTTTGAACCTCCAGCCGCGAAAGCGGAAAAAGCAAAACAAGTGATAGCGTATGTGATTGCATACTCTCCAGATGCAACTGCAAAAGATGTCACTATTCGGTATCTGAAAAAGCAAGCCTGGCCTGGGAAAACAAAAGGATTTCGACTACCAGTAGAAAAAATTCCGTACAATATGTCTGGAACTCGTGCATATTACGAATATGACTGGTTTAAGACCACAATGCGGGGCTATCTACGACCAGCAAGTAAAAGGACTGCTGCCGATGCCAAAGAAGATGAAGCCCTTACACCTGGCCAAGCAAGGAATAATAAGCTAAAGGAGGGAGATACACTCCAAAGTCTGAAGGCGTCTGATGAGTTTGTACTGGAGAGGTTTTTGAAAAGAGAAGAAGCCCTCCGTTCTGGTGCAACCCATGTCCGTACTTTCACTACTGGCAAAAACGAGAAGAAGAAAGAGGAAAAGGTCTATAAACGATCGGATGTAGTGAAATGCCTTTCTGCTGAGAGCTGGCATAAAGAAGGACGAAAAGTTAAGATGGGGCAGACGCCTCTGAAACTCGTTCCCATCAGGGCAGTTACGCTCAACAGGAAAAGAGAGGTAGACGAGCTTCATCGCGAGACAGGTGAGAAGCCAATGCAAGGACTCTACGCCCGATATCAAACGGAATTTATAATCCCGCCGCCTATAAAGGATGGGGTAATACCCAAGAATGAGTATGGGAACATTGATTGTTTCGTTCCATCCATGATACCACGAGGAGCGGCCCATGTGCCATACCCCGGGACCGTCCGCGTTTGCAAGAAACTCGGCATAGATTATGCAGAAGCAGTTACCGGATTTGAATTCGGGAGTAAAATGGCTGTTCCAATAATTGAAGGGGTAGTCGTTGCAGCCGAGAATGAGAACCTTTTGAAGGATGCGTGGATGGCTGATGAACAGGAAAAAAGGAGAAAAGAGAAGCTCAAGCATGACAAACTTATCCTAGCTACATGGCGGAAATTTATAATGGGCCTTCGCATTAATGACCGGCTCCGGGAAGAATACGGTGGAATGGGTGAAACTGAATCTCACAATCCATTTGCTAGTCGCATGGACCCTGACTCTGAAACTCATCAGACTACAGAGGTCGATAGTCAGAGTCACGACACGGGAGGTGGATTCCTTGTTCCTGGAGCTGACGATGATATGCACGAAGAAGGTGGTTTTTTGGTTGAAGATGATAACCCACATGAAGGCTAGAGTCTACCAGGTGATGCCCAGGATTTGGACGGCCCTAAGCCGGTGCATTATAACTAGTTATTGTATCAGTTATTATTATTTTTTATTTTTATTTTTATTTTTATTTTTATTTTTTTTTTTTTTTGGAGGGGGGGGGGGCGAGTCTTGGCGCCCCCGCACTCCTCCTATAGAGAGGTTTACTTTGGTAAATCTATTTCATTGCTTCCTTTTGTTCGCACCGGCAGCGGACCGACTCGACGACACTTCTAGTTTCTTTGGATGCAGTTCTTCCAGCTTCTATTACACATTCAGCTATGTCTTCAGCCGTATCACCGTGTTGAGTCCAAGTTGTGCAGAGTTCGATTTCCTTCTACAGTCCTTACGTACAGTAGAGCGCTGCAATCTTCGTTATATTTCTTCGTTTAGTATATATATGT